ATGACAGGCTTATAAAATTGTTACTGGTGCCCACAACAGCAATATCCGTGGGATCTGTAACTGGTTCAAGAACCAGTTGTTCATCTTGCAGCTGATCAATGCTCTCTCACTAGTAGCGCACATTTCTGCTGTGGCTTGTATGATTCCTCAGTGAGGGGGAGGGGAAGAGTACGTGAATATCGACAGACTGGGCCTTTCCCCCAAAAGAAATCCTCAGCATTCATTTAAAGGGAGAAGGCCTCAGCAAAAAGCATGTCCGACAATCACATGTTGTCAGGGAAGTTAGGCAACAGCAACATGTGACGCTGTTACAACTTGCCCAAGTGTTTAATGCCGACTCCAGGAGTTTCAAGCTTCCTCTTCTGTGCCACAAGCAGGGAAACCTCAGAGGATGAAATGGGCGGATGTTCCAGGGGCTGATTTGCATTGTGCAGCAGGAAATGGGAACACTTACAAAGAAACTAACTGAAAGGGGTCGGGGAGGGGGGGAAGACAAATAAGCAACTTCTCGACTCCTGAAACAGGACCGTCAGCGGAGCCACACATCATAAAGATCTGACAGAAGTCTCAGGCTCTTAGCATCTATCTTATACCAGATTAGCTTTCGTAACATTATTCTTGGATTTTGCAAACTATCAAACTTGAGGGCCTGGTTTCAGCGCTTCCCGGCCACTTAGGGTGACCAGACAGCAAGTGTGAAAAATCGGGATGGGGGTGGGGGGGTAATAGGAGCCTATATAAGAAAAAGGCCCAAATATCGGGACTGTCCCTATAAAATCGGGACCTCTGGTCACCCTACAGCCACTGGACTTGAAATGCTAACTGAAAAATAAAGGGATCAGCTGCGGGTTGCCGTCTCTTCAGTTCCTTGTGGAATGTGGCAGCACCTCCAGTGGCAATACAAACAGAGACCCCCAGTGTATGCCAGGAGCTACCCTTCCAATATCTCCAGAGACAGGTGCTCTGAGGTGAGGGCAGTAGCTTGGGACTCGGGAGATTCGGATTCAATCTTCTGCTGCACCACAAAGCCCCAGATGTGACCTTGGGCAAGTCATTTGGGGTCTCAGCTGCCCATGTGATAAATAGGGATAATAGCGCTTCCCTAACGAAGAGGATAGTTGTGAGGATAAATACATTAAAGATTATGAAGCACTCACGTACTAGTGTAATGCAGGCCATGGAAGCAGATAAATAGACGTGTAGAAATAGCCTGTGTCTGCACAGGGAATTAGCCCCCGTTTCAGCAGCCAAGGTAGCTGTACCAATGTAGACAAGGAAAGCCTTTGCATGGGGGCATGAAATGATTTGTATGGGTCCAACTGCAATAGTTGCTCAGATTGGTGCTAATTCCTATAGACAAGGCCTGAGAGAGCGTTATGAATAACTATGCTTTATCCTCTTCTTTTGACCTCTCCCCCTTCCCATCATACCGGGTGGCAACCAAAGTCAACAGAAGTACAATCATCTCTGTGAAAAGGGCGTGTGCTCTTTTTGGAGCAATCCTGTGGGATCAGACGTTTACTCGGGGTTCAGGACTCGGCTCAGGGACATGGTGTGCGCTACTCAAGCTCCACATACGATGAGCCAGGCCTCTCTGCAGTCAGCAATGAAACAATTGACAATATTGCTATCTGAACAGTCACTAGAATCAGCATCCCAGTAAGAAGACAGCACTGGGGCCAGGTCCTTGGCTCATGTAGATAAGTACACATCCATTGACTGCAATGGAATTACACTGATTGGGGTCAGCCGAGTGTCTGGCTCAGCATTTCTGTTTATTTGCCGATTCAGTGATTGTGTCTACACTAGGCATAATTACAAAGCAGTTCCAGTCAGGGCTACTGGTGGGAGCCTGACAGTGGACAAGGCTCTGGAGGGCAACCTTCTTTTTATCGTCATTTTTTGTTAGACTTTCTTCGAGGCAGGTTTTGCTAAATGGGGATGTTGACTAGAAATGTATCCAGCTGCGAGAGCCTCATTATGCCAGGGTCCTGTTGGTGCCAAAACCAATTGAAATATTTTGTTGTAAACCTTGCCCAATATAGACAGGGCTGTAAAGACAGCATTGGATTAGATTCCCTTTGGAAGATGTTATTTTGAACCATTAGACTCTAAACTGTTTGGGCCAGTGCCCAGCACCAGGGGGTCCTGGTTCATGACTAGGCTCCTAGGCACTATGATAATACAAATAATAATAATAATAATAAGATAGCTGAAAACCCACATTTTAAAAAATGGAAGCTCTACCTTGTGCCAAAGCCCCCGATGGGGCTGCAGGGAAAGTGTTAGGTACTGGCTCAAACCTTCCTCTATCCTATTGTACACGGCCACTACAAAATACAGAGTAAGGCCAAGATTTTCAAAAGCAACTAGTGATTCTGGGGTGTCTCAGTTTTTGGGTGCCCAGCTTGACACAAGGATCCCAATTTGCAGAAAGGACTGAGCACCCGGCCTCTCTGACGTGTCTCAAAATCATTAGTCACTTCTGAAAATCCTGGCCCTCTGTTATTAGTGGCGGACCACACCGTGTTCAAAACTGGGAGAATCAGTGCTTAGCACTTTATTCTTCAAAGTGCTTTACAAACCCTGTTACTCAGAACACCCGAGTGGTGCATAAGGAAGTAACACCTCCATTTTATAGGCTGCAAAACTGAGGCAGAGAGAGAAATGATTTGTTCAAGACTGGGGGAATAGAGGTCAGAACCAACTAAGATTTGATCTGCAGAGCTCCTGGCTCCAGCCCTGTGCACAGAAAGGTGACACATAACACACATCCATGTGATACACTGCAGCGCTAGGTTACTAACTACTTATTATGCAGTTTTGACTGCCTGACCTGCACTATGCCCATGGCTCCATCTCTCTACTTCAGGCCTCTAAGCTGCTTCAAACAGCTACCATTTAAAAACAAATTAAAAATGAATTGCCTGCAAAATGTTTCCTCCTTTCCCTAGCCATGACATTTCTCCCGCAAAATTACATGTGGAATAGGCAATATGCATTCCTAGATCCATGATGAGTTAAAAGTAACTCAGACACTTCCCAGAACTATCAGTGGGAGCCCTTTATACCCCTGCTGATGAGACCTTCATACCATCAAGCCAAGAATCTCTCACCTCTCTTCCTGTTTCGGATGGTTTGAGGCTTTTGTTTCTGGCCCAGGTGTTGAAAGGTACTGGATTTACAGGCTTAGATTTAATTGGGCATCTCACCCTAATAGCCCAACCTTACCATCTGTGGTAAGAAAGGATGTGGACAAATTGGAGAGAGTCAGCAGAGGGCCACGAAAATGATCAGGGGGCTGGGGCACATGACTTATGAGGAAAAGCTGAGGGAACTGGGCTTGTTTAGTCTGCAGAAGAGAAGAGTGAGGGGGGATTGTTCCCTGAGTGTAATGGCTAATTAACCCACCCCTTTTGCCCCATAATACTGTGCTCTGCACACTGCCATCTCAGGCAGGAGAAGCACCCTGTAAAACAGCAAGGGGAGAGGGATGTAGTCCCAGTGCACCTTGTATCTGAGCATTGGGGTGATGGAATACCACTGAGCAGAGAGAGCAAACACTAATCAGATGCTCTGGTTCTTTTCAGATTTTGGTGGGAGGGATAGCTCAGTGGTTTGAGCATTGGCCTGCTAAACCCAGGGTTGTGAGTTCAATCCTTGAGGGGGCCATTTAGGGAACTGGGGTAAAAATCTGTCTGGGGATTGGTCCTGCCTTGAGCAGGGGGTTGGACTAGATGACCTCCTGAGGTCCCTTCCAACCCTGATATTCTATGATTCTGTA